ATGCAGGGTACCTTTCTCAGTTCTCCTCTAGTTCATGCAGCCCCATCTCTTGCGGGTGATATTTTCAGTGGTGGTAGACGCTGTCGCTTTCGCAGGTAATGGGAGCTTTACCTTTGATGGCAATAGGATTTGCACTGTGTCGACGGGCTATATGCCTTCTGGGAAACAGCAGCCTTCATGCCAGGGGTTGCGCATGGCTTCTCCTAAACTCTGTTCCCAAAACCTCTTCCCCTGTGAACCCTGGCTCTGTGGGGCAACCTACCTGACACAGGCAGCGACAAAAGTCAACACCGTCCTGGCCCGATACCCTAGCGAGCTCAGGAGACAGGAATGTCCAATGCGCTGGTAAAGGGTTCCTGGGTTTTTCTGGCCCAGGTCTGCAAAGTCCAAAGCCTCTGGGACACATTTCATTTTCCTTTCTGGAATTAGCTTTAGTGCTGAAGGTTGGGTTTGGGCCAGCAAAGCTTCCTTTGAGCCGTCGGCCGTGCAAAAGACTCCTCGAGTCTGCAGCGTTTCCCTTAAACGCAGCTCATCTGGTGCCAGAAATTTCCCTCGCCTGAATATTATAATCTCCTCAAGTACCAGCGAGGAATTGCCCAAAGGAAACGTGACCTTTCCAGCAATGCTGGCTTGTCTGGAGCGGGTGTTCGTGGCCATGTGGAACAGCACAGCCTGTATCGTTGTTCTGCGGGAGGAGGAGGTGTTTTGTAGGGCAAATGGAAATAAAACCTCTCCCTTGGCTGGGGGTCCGGAGGGAGGTGAAGTCAAGAGCTGGATCTGCAACGGGCAGCCAGCCCCAGTCAGAGCAGAAGTCTGAGCATCCCAGACGCTTGGCAAGCTGCGACTCCGTGGCCAAAGCTGAACCAAGATGCTTTCAGCCCTTCCCTAGACCTGCAGGATCTCCTCAGGAAGAGATAAACCCTTCCACAAAGAGTGGAACCAAGACCTCCAAAAGCTGTTGACAGAGATGTAGGGACCGCGTAAGAGAACCTGGCCCCGTGATGAGGTCTTGCCGGAGCAAGCCCTGCCCGCAGCTCCTGGCTGCCGAGGCAGCAAAGCGGTCTCTGCATCCCCCCTTTCTTCTCCAGTCCCCTAATGTTTGCATGAGGGCATGAATTTCCTTTCACCTTGCAGGAAAACCCCTCTATCCAGGTGGGTGGCTGGGGGCAGGAGTGTAGCACGCTGTAGCTCATCTCGCGAGTCTTCAAGCTTCGAGTCTTCTTGCTTTCCATTTCCCTGTCCTGTGTCAGGTGAAATTAATTGGGGAGCTCTCAGTCCCACCGGCAGCTATGAGCCTGCTTCTTCCCAAAACTGCCCCAGCCTGGGACCAACCTGGGAAAGTGCTGGCCGGAGGTGATGGCAGAGGTATGCGGTATCAGCCTGATCCTGAAGCGCCGGGTAATTATTTCTAGAAATGGGAAAGATGGTTGTGCAATACTGCTGTGGGCTGAGCACGTTGAGTTACTGAATGTGATTGCGAGCAATTAGAGCAAATGGGAGACCGCGGCCCCTTCGTAGAAAACGGAACCATTTGGAAATTAAATCTTTCCACCTTTTTGCTTTGAAAGGCAATTTACCAGCTGACCCCTTCCTCACACTGATGAAGGCTTGGGCTTGTCCAAATTGAAATGGCACATTCGGTTTGCGGTCCAACAAACCCTTGTAGCTGACCCAAACGCAAAGACTTTGGCAAGGTTTAGTTTCTCATTTGTGTGGGGTTTTTTTGTTTGTTTTTCACTGAAGACAAATATTTGTGCTGCTAGGTCAGTTGAAAAGGAATTGCCCTTTTCCCTCTGCTTGTTGGTGTGACTACTGAACCCCAAAGCATCGCTTATTAAGCCTTGCTCTGCCGCCAGCCTGTTTGAACATGAGAGTGAGCTCTGAATCCACTAATAAACTGGTTTTAGGTGTTTGCTGGAGGGCGGTGATATTTCTGAACCCAGGGTGAGTGGGGGCTCGGTGAGGGCTTTATCCGCAGCCCTTATTCCTGAGAGGAGCAGGTATGGGGCTCCCAGCATCCCACCCCGCCGCAATGTTTAGTGCGTCAGAGCCGCATCCCAGCGTGGCGGCAGGCAACTGGGAGGCCGGTTTGCCCTGCGACAAAGGCAACTGGGAAAGAGATTTCCCTGCTTTTGCAGAAAAATCCTTCTCCCCAAAACGGTCGCCCCCGGCGCTGTCCTCAGCCCATTCGGAGGATGCAGGGACAGAATAGCGAGCCGGTGAGGTCATGGGGAGAGAGTTAGTCACATCCAACTGGGAAAGGGAGAGGGCTGCCAACCAACGTCGCTCTCGCACCGTGGAAAGCTCGCGTGGTTTGGAGGAGACCCCCTCCGGGCTCCCCGGGGTACCCCGGCCAAGCCGGGGGATTGGTGAAGTGCTGCCTCCGCGGGGGCTTCCTGAGGAGCTGGAGGAGCTGGGGAAGGAATTAAATCGAAATCTAATTTGTTCTGGCACAGACGTGGACCTTGCTTCTCGTAACTGGGGCGATCTGGGCGAGCGGGGGTTAAGAGCCTTTCTGAATCAGAGACTATCTGGAGCTGTCGAACAAGGGAGGGAGATCATGGCAGAGTTTAATGAATGACTTCATTTATATATTAAAAAAAAACACAACACAACAACACGGTGGCTTCCTGCCAGGCCCACAGACAAGGGTTTCTATGGGAACCTGAGGGAAAACAATAAATAGGAGTGTGGGACGAGTAGGGAAGGGAGGAGGGGAGCCCGGGCTCTGGTCTGGGTCCACTTTGTTCCCCATGGAGAGCAAGGTGGCAAGGGGCGACACGGGGGAAGAAGGGGAAAGGGCAGCTGAATTTGCTGCTTGCAAAAGGACCCCACCCAAAATAAGGCAGGCAGCGATTATGATATGGTGGCGGAGCGGTTTCTTGGCCGAGTCTGGGATCTGCTTCGTTCCCTGCTCCCCCCTGGGCTCTGCGGGGATGGGTGACCTGACTCCATCTGGCTTCGCATCCCGGCTCTGCCGCTTCGGGGGAGACGGGAGTTTGGGGGGGCAGGGATGCAGGGTCACTCCCAGCTTGCCGCCAGGGTGGCGGTGGGACCCCTCGGCGAAGGGATGCTCCGAGGCTAAGCTCAGTGGTCCTGCTGGTGCCACAGAGTGAAATAGGCTCTGGGTGAGTCTCCCCTGGAAAGGTTGACAAGGTTCATAGTGTAATTAGAAAAGCCAAATTTTTCTTGAACAAAATGTCTCGATTAATCCCGTGTTCTGTTTTTTTTTTTTCCTTTCTTTTGCTGGCAGCAGGGGGGATCTGTCCTGAACCTCAAATGAAAACAGCATCTTAGTGAGGCCCTTGGTGAAGCGAGGCCTTCTCGCATAGTTCATGGTCCAGGCTGTGGGCAAAGCCGGGCAGGCTGGCAGAGTGGCACTTCTGGGGGCAGCTGAAACCTGCCCCTCATTCACTCAAACCGGGCTGAAACAAGTTTCAACTAAGGCATTTTTGGTTTTTTCTTCCTTTTCTTTTCCACAAGCTCTTTGCCCCAGTCTGAACTGATGTCACACCGCGTCTCCCGCTGCGCAGGTTCATCCTGTCGGGACTGCAGTCCTCGGGGCGCGCCCGAACGGGGCGGGGAGACGCGGGTCAGGCTGGCTCCCGCTGCTGGCGGGAGATCGCCCTCCCGGCTCCCATATGGGTGCCTTGCACAAAAGCTTTTCTGTAAATAGGCTTGCAAATGCCAGGGGAAAGAGCCTTCATGGTCTGTTTTGGACCTGGCCGAGCCAGGGGTGATACGACGAGAGGAAACGGCCTCAAGTTGTGCCAAGGGAGGTTTAAATTGGACATTAGGAAAAATTTCTTTACTGAAAGAGTAGTCAGGCCTTGGAACAGGCTGCCCGGGGAAGTGGTGGAGTCACCATCCCTGGAAGTATTTAAAAGACGTGTAGATGAGGCGCTTAGGGACATGGTTTCGTGGGCATGGTGGGCCATGGTGGTGTTGGGTTGATGGTTGGACTCGATGATCTTAGAGGTCTTTTCCAACCTTAACGATTCTATTGTATTCTATTCTATTCTATCTTGATTCCCAAATGAAAGGGTGAGGGAGAACCTGCCCCAGCATCTGCCCCAGCATCAGCCCCAGCATCAGCCCCAGGTACCACGGGTCAGACCTGCCCTGCTCCAGCTGCCATCGCAGGCCCTTTGGGTTAGCGGTGACCCTGCCACCGCGGCGCGTCCCTTTCTGCCTGCACCCCGGCTGGTGCCGCCAGCGGTGGAGCCGGAGCCAACCCTGCTCCGAGACCGGTGTTTTCACAGGAGGAGGAATTCCTTGGGGATGCGAGAGGCCGTTCTGCTGACAGAGGTGTTAATATCCAGCAGCTGAGACGTCTGGGAGAAGCCAGGGCAGGTTTTTCTTCTCTGCAGGGGAGGAAGGAAGCTCGGCAGGGCAGAGCGGGACACAGCC